TTTGGCTGAAAATTATCCTATTAAGTTAAAAGCCAGAAGTATCACACTATTATAATTTATGAATGTACATGCTCTGTAAAGCGGGTCGATCGAACTAAATCGACGAGGTTCTAAAAGTGTAGAGCTAACCTCGTAAAACAAGAAGAAGCATTAAAATTTAAAAGCTACCTAACCCATGGGACTGTTAATCATACCATGCACAACTTTATACAGAAATCATAGATTCTCAATGATTCTTCTGGACTACAGAGAAGATATGTATATTCATTGTAAATGTCAATGGATCATAGTCATGATCCAGTTGCGAAAACGGTCGATCCACTTTAAAGACGATAAAACGATGTAGTTTATGGAGAGAGAGAGAGAGAGAGAGAGAGAGAGAGAGAGAGAGAGAGAGAGAATGCTCTCAATCTTCTAAGTATTTTTCAAAATATTTCGAAACCACATTGACGATGCATATTCAAGTATCGGACGCGTTATTGTACAATATAAATACAAAATTGTTTGCGGTGTCTTCAAATTACACCTTTAATACAATATTATGAATATGAATGTCAAATGACAATGATAACGTTCCTCCTGGATGGTAACTAAAAGGGGGAGGCAAATGACTTCTAGAAAACCTCACAACGTAGCATTTGTCGTTATTAAACTTCGTGCCGTTTTGTTTGCAACAAGCGACATTATTAACGACATACAGTAATTTCTCCCTAATTCGCACTCAGATTTCGCATAGAAATAAACAATTTGGGAAGAGGAGATATGATTATTCGAGCCTTGCGGCTTGTTTTTACAATTGTTGACAATCGGTAATTATAAAAAACGAATAATCGTATCTCCACTTTACAAATTGTCCAGTTTTGTGAGGATCAATTAGGGGGTATTTATTGTATTATCAACACTTTAATGCGTTGGACTTCACTGGGAATTGAGAAGTACAAGGTTTTTGCTGCAATACGTTTACGCTGGCATAGAAATAGAGATTCCCCGGTTCGGTGGAACACATTTGTCAGCGGACTATTATTTATGGCTTGATGAAAGATAAATTGATGGAACGCACGCGATGTTCGCGATGGAATGCGACCCTTTGAAACAGTGAAAGCACCGAAAGAAATAGCTCGCGTTCGAACAATTGCACTGTTTATAAGGTGAAACGAAGCTCTCATTGACCGCTGGGGAAATTAAAATGTTTGCGACTGTGAAATGTTGTGCAGCTTGGCAGACGGATGTTGCGGAGATAGTTTGCTACACGCTGCATCCCTTGCGTTCATTCTGAGCGACAGTAACTCGCAATCTAATAGATTTTGGGATTTTATAGTCACTTATAGTGACGGTTAGGAAATTATCCATATGTTTATTTCCATTATAAACGCAAATTTAGTTAACTGTGTATACTGTTTCTAACATACTTCAGTCATTGTATCCAAAATCATTTTTCGAACGTGTCGCTTTTCAGGTTTTGCAGAAACCATAATACAGGGTGTCCCCAAAATGTCTCGTAATCTGGAAATGAAGGGTTCCGGAGGTCATTTGAAGTAACTTTTTCCTTAGCGAAAATGCAATCCGTGGCTTTTTTACGAGTTATTAACGAAAAACACTGATCAATAAAAGACGAGCTCGGCCGGCACGAGGCCGAGGCTCTTTCATATGCTCATTTTTGTCCTTTCTGTGTATTTTATACTTTTATTACCTATTAATTTAGTACTTTTTAATTCGTTATTTTAATTCACTTACATCGTAATACGTAATCAACGTAATTTAATTACTTAGCATTTTGTAATGATATTCTAATTGCAATTACGAATTACATTATAATTTAATTGTATGGCGCTCTGAATTACAAATTATAATGTGATAGAATTATAATATAATTTAATTTGTAATTGTAATGACTTAGTGTTAATGACGTAGTGTTCATGTAAATAATTACGGAGAGTGTATGTTTTCGACAGAATTGGACACAGTTGCAAATTTAACGTTATTAAAAAGGATTCAAAATGAAATCCTATGTCTTTTCATTTCGTATGGGTCGCATCATGTCCCAGTTTTATCAAAGTCACTGAAACAAGGTGTAAGCGTGATCCGTTTAGCGCGGAATGACTCACATTTCCGCGTAAAAGGAGAACTAATGTGAGAAGAGTAAGAGTGACATAGGGTAGTGGATCTGTTTACTGTAGGATGTCCAATTGCTGTGCCTTTGGTTTGTTTTCGGGCATAACTAACTTTATATTTATTGAATAAGACATATTACATTTTTGAATGAAAAAATAAATAAAATAAAGAAATATACAGCAGAGAGGTATGCAATAAGTACGTTGAAAATAGACCATACTAGGACCAACTTTATTTGATAATGAATAAAGTAATTCAAATATTATTTGTAAATAGTTCATAACTTTTATTACTTGAAATTAATTTATAAGGAATGACTGCGTGATATTACACGATATTTTATTGGACTGTACTTTAATTTTACTCCAATATTGATTTCCAATCTCTCCGTCGACATTTCACATTCCAAAATGAAATTCTTTCCAAAATGAGTTCTTTTCAAAATGAAATAATTGTTTCACCAATACTTTCGAGGATATATTTCGATTAAAAGTGTGTTGAACATCATGTAACAATTTTATGAAACGAGTTAATAGCATTCCATTTGTTTCTCAATCGTTTATATTATTGTGTACGTTATAAGATGGTAACAATCGCATTGAAATTAACGAGAATTCGATTTCATCCGCTGCAAGTTGATTCGAAAATTTAATAAACAATATCGTATTTCAAATGTGCACATGATAAACATAAATGACATATATGATATACTTTTGTGTAGACTTTTTAATGCATATGATGTATTTAAAATATAAAACGAAATATTTTCATTTGGAATCTTCTAACGACGATATAGCAATATAGAGACTATGCAGCAAATTTAATAGTAAAAAAAAATATATAACAATAGAAT